TACTACTACTACTACTACTACTACTACTTTTTATTTTCTTCTTTTCCTATAACAAAAATAAGGGTTCAGCCCCTATATTTTTTGAATTTTATTTTCCTTCTTYMTTTTMTTCTMATGAATATGTTGATTTTCTATACTTTAATATGAAATTTATACTTTTTTTATGAAAATCATGGATAATTATTAAAAAATATGGTTATGGTACCTAGGGAACTACCCTAGGATCTATGTTTTTAACATAAAAAATCCATCGCCAAGGCGAGGCTAGGTGACTGCTAGGCGACTAGGCGACAAGGCGCCCCCCAGTCGCCTAGCCTCGCCTTGGCGCCTTGAAAATCATGCCGTCTTTGATGATTTGCATAAGCTTTCAGCAAGGCTCTCGAAAAATGGGATGTTATCTTTCAATTTGTTTTGGTTTGGGGTGGTTTTGTCTTTTGTGGGTGATTTTCAAATAGCTGTATGGGTAATGTATGTTGAGTTGTTCTGTTTTGCTTTTGTGTTTGCTTCTGTTTCTCTTATATTATTGGAGTGATTTCTAATCATCTGATTTTGCAATTTTGATTTTAATAATTTTTTATTTATCAGAAAAACAATTATCTGTAATGATGTTGACATTTCAGTCTTAGGGTTTGCGAATTTACTTGAGCTCTTTTATAGGCTACACTTATTTATGGGCTTGTGCTTTTGCATCTGATATGACAACACCTTATTCTATGGGGTACTGACCATCATCCCTCCCTTCTGGAGTGGGTATATTAGCAAACATCAGGGAGGCCCTTGTGGTCTTGAGTACGTATTTGGAACATATGATCCCAACTCAATCTTGGAGGAGCATTTAGGTGAAACATTGTCATGTTCTACAGATTTGTTTGGAGGGTTTGGGTCCATTGGTAGGAGGGGTTTGGATCCAGGCAGGTTTAATATGGCTCATTTCTGCTTGGAGCTATTTATTTGGTGGGCTTATAGTACCTATTAGAGGGTGTTCAACTAACTGGCAGACTGATTAGCTAGGGGTGGAGTGGACAGAAGTGAACTTTATTGATTTTGGCCTCCTGAGCTATTATTGTTGGGTATCTTGGGATTTTTTTTTGGTGTTTGGGACATCTCACAAATGTTGAGATGGAAGGAAATTTAGGAACTGGGGAGTGATAGAGTTAATAGTCTGTAAATGGGTGTTTAGACAGCCAATATCTTTTTCGATGCATTGGTAAGGTAGGGTGTTAATAGGGATCTGATGTTTTGGGGAATTTGTACTGATTGGAGGGATAGAGAATAGCATAAAGGGTAGGGCAAGGGGCTTTGACAACCTTTACAGGTTTTCATTGTAAACATTACTATTATTTCATTCTTTTAATAAAGTTAAGTTATTCATCAAAAAAGTGGAGAAACTAGAAAGGGCAGGGTTAGAAATGAAGCCATTTAAAGGAACCTATGAGTAGCTCCAATAGGTGTGATAAAATGAGAGGAAGTAGACTAAGATTGTTTGCTCACATGCTGAGATGATCATCTACAACACCCGTAAGAACTTAGTAGTTTATATGTTGCAAGTTGAAGGGGCTAGAAGAGCTAGGGCAAACTGTAGAGGACATGAAGTAGTAAGAAATGACTTGAGCGAGCACACAGTTCAACAATGGACATGGCACTGATTAGAACTGAATGGTGAAACAGGATTCATGTAGCTGACCCCATATAGTTGGGACAATGTTTTTATGATTATGGTGATGATATTCTTGGATTTTTTTTTTTTGGTTAAACTGATTCTATTTTCTTATGATGTGTGTTCTTGGTTCTTATTCTAATGGATATCCGGTTGTTTCCCTTCCTCTTGCTTTTGATAATCAATAATGTTCAGTTAGTAAAAACAATGGATACTTGGTTAAATGTTATGATGTTTATTATTGTTTATTATTTCTTTTTAGTATGTTGATGACATACCTATGCATTATTTTTGGCTAGTGTGGCTTGTATTCATGGTTTGTGGTGGTGGACTAGAGTCCCCCCCCCACCCTGCAAATAGTGGAAGAAAATAATGGGTGCCTGGTATCTACAATGGGGATCATATCTTTTCTAGCTAAACAAATTCATATTATCATTGGTCTTCCCTCTGCTCTTTTTAGATTCGTCAATTTCCATAATATCATTCTCTACTAGTGCATTGCACAACCATCTTAGTTGTCTTTCACTCCTTTCCGATAGCAACTATAATTGTTGCTATCGTTTCTAGCTAAACAAACTCATATTATCA